TGTTTTAGTCCTGTTTTAGTCCTGTTTTAGTCTTGTTTTAGTCCTGTTTTAGTCTTGTTTTAGTCCTGTTTTAGTTTTTCCTGTTTTAGTCCTGTTTAGTCCTTTTAGTCCTGTTTTAGTCCTGTTTTAGTCTTGTTTTATCCTGTTTTAGACCTGTTTTAGTCCTGGTTCATGTGTTGTCTATGATTTATGTTCTGTAGGTGATTATCAGTGGTGTTAATGTTAATAACATGATTCAGCATCATTTTGAGTAAAAAAAAAAAACATCAAATATTACAGATTTTTAGTGGGCTGGCACCTTTATGTTTGTACTGAAAATTTATTTATTTATTTTTTTTACAATAAACAAACCATCTAGAAGACACCTGTGTATATTTCGGCATGTCAAGTTGAGTTTACGGCTTTTGGGGTGGAGGTAAAAAAAAAAAAAATCTCCACTCCTCGCTGGGAAACATTATAATATAGATGAGAAAATAAAGCAGCACGGGCCCTTTAAACGAAATTTCAGTCTTTACCTCACGCAAACATTTAGTGAAGTTTAAATCATTACAATGCCTGTTTCTATTTGGGGTTTTAGACTTTTGTGTTTACTTTTTTTTTTTTCTACCAGTCACGTCCAATGAACAAAGAGGCCAGGTGGGATCAGGAAGGAGGGAGAGCGGAAGGGAGGAGGATTTGGCGAGGGGGGATCTCGTTGAAAACCTCTTCGTCACGAGCCTTACTTCCTGAGGGCGTTTCTCACAGCTGTGTGCGTGACCTTTGACCCCCCGGCCCCAAGCAGAGGAGGCGAGTCACGAGTTGCGCTTACACAGTTACGTTTACTTAAGTGCACGTTTTAAGATCGATCTGTGACCCCGGTCGGCGATATTTACAAATGATCTTGATATTTCGATTAGATTTTATTTTTTGATGAGTTGATCTTGTGTGCGTGGCTTTGTTTGGGTTAGGGTTTTGTTCGAGGGGAAAAAAAAAAAAAAAGGAAAAACTTTTTTTTTACGCTGTAGTTTAGATTTGTACAAATATGTTCTCAAATGTGTGTGATTGTTGTGTCGATTCAGATTTCAGGCTATTTCTCAATTCTCCTGGAGGCTTTAAACTGTGAACTTTGTACTTTGAAATCCAGTAGTGGAACGTAACGAAATAAAAGTAATAAAGTACTACATTTTGTACAATTTATTGGCACTTTTTACTTTTACTTCACTACAGTTAAGAGCAGACATCTGTACTTTCTGCTCATACATTTTTCTACTCTACATTTTTAAACAGGACTAAAAAGTAAACTTTTTTTTTTACAGTTTTTTATACAGATAAAAATTGCTGGAAAAAAGACAGATTCAGCAACAAATCTGTATCAAAATCACTACGTTTGAAGCTTTATTAGATCTCAAAATCTGTGCAAAATACTTGAACTTTTTCCTTTTTCAGTACATTTTTAAACAGGTACTTTAACATTTTTACTTCAGTATACTTTTTCATGAGTATTTCACTTAAAGATGCATTGTGTAACTTTTCTGGTGGAGGAACCGTCAAATGCTTTTCTCTGTGGAGATATTATTGCTTCGTCTGGAATGTTTCACAGTATGACATTAAACCTTTTTATCGTCATGGAGACCAAAGCAGAGCGAGTTACAGGTCAGATCTGTGGAGAGGCGACCCTGCTCATAGTCAGAATACCTGTTTCTCTAAGAATTTTTGACCAATAAAACCTCCTGTAATCGAGTAAACGTAATGTACAGTTGTTTAATGTCATATTGCGGAACATTCCAGGCAGAGCAATGACATCCATAGAATTAAGAAGGTGACTGACACCCAGCTGAAAAGTTATATAGTACAGATATATAGTTTGTTTTTTGCTCTGATATTGGTGCAGGATTCCCTCCAAAAAGTTACATAATGCACCTTTAACACCGTCAACATTACGAATTGAAAGAAGACAAATTATTGACAAAGTCTGATTGGCGGCACTTCTGGTTAAGTGAGAATTTCCTTTCATTTCAATAAAGAATTCGTGAAAAGTTTTGCCACTAAAATAAGATATAACATCGACTGATTTGAGTAAAATGTTCAGTGTTCATGTATACAGGGTTCCCAAAATTTCAAAACTTTTCTATGACTTTTTCATGACCTAAAGCAGGGGTGTCGAACTCATTTTGGTCCGGGGCCGTATCCAACTTACTTTGATTCCAAAAGGGGCCGGATCAGAAAACTCATGTCATATAAACCCCAAAAATAACAAAAAGTTCAAATATTTATGCAGAGAAACACAAATCTATTACAGAATTCTTTGTTAATTGATGAACTCTTTCTTTTACAAAATATTATAATATTATGATCAACCTGAAACTTTAAGAAAAATGTAATTTCAACACAATGTTTTAACATGAACTTGTATGTAAATAGGAAAAAGTAAATTTTTCTTGGAAAATCCTGCACTCGGCTCCACTTTTCTCATTTTTGGACATTTTTTGATGAGGGTGTCACGGTCAACAGTCAAAACGATCGTCCTTTAAGAGCGTTTGGAAAGAGACAAGTCTTCATTTGTGCTGCTCTGGTGGGAGGGGCCACGTACAGAGACGCTGGAGACGCTGCTGTGATAAACACCACAGAAAATTAACAATGTTTTAATAGAAAATATAATTAAAATATTTTAGTAGAAAATCAGCCGAGGGCCAGATTAAAGGTCTTGGAGGGCCGGATCTAGCCCCCAGGCCTTATGTTTGACACCTGTGACCTAAAGTGAATTTTCCATGACTTTACAGCACCTACATGTGTAGAATTGATCAGACTTTTAGGATTAAATATGAAATGTTAACCCTTTACACTCAACTTATGGTTTGGTTTTATAGTTTTTTTCACATTCAAAACACTGTCAGTGCATTTATTGTCGTCTCTTTTAAACAAAAGGTGCAGATGTTTGGAAATAATCATAATAGTCTAATGAAAACTTAACAAAACACTGTAGTTGTGAGAAAGAGATACTAAAACGCCATGACTTTTCCAAAACTTTCATTGATTTTACAAAATTCCATGACTTTTCCAGGCCTGAAAAACAACATTTTCAATTATTAGTATTATTTATGTCTTTTTGAGGATTTCCATGAAGGTGGCCTTACTTTAATAATAAATGAACCCAGTAAAGTGCCTGTACTTTTGAAGATGGCTTGCAGCTAATGTCAACAAGCATAAAAAAACAAAAAACAAAATGAACATCAGAAGTGAGTATGTCTGTCACCACTGAACCACCACAATCTTATCACAACAGCTAAAAACTTGTAATGTGACATTTTTCGTGCAGCCCTAGAAGCAACAGTATGTTTAACCCGAGTGCAGTTTTCGTCTCCTCTCCTCCTCCGGCCCAAAGTCGTGCCTTGGAGGAGCCCCACTCCTTGATGGATGGTCACAGGGGCTCTCGTCCATCAGCTCCCCCAGCCCCGAGTGCCTGTCCTGGGCTCGTGTTTCTGCCGCTCCTGCCCCATGTGTGAGACACTGTGGAGATCAGGTTACACAAGAGGAGAAAGAGGAGGAGGAGGAGGTCACAAAGACGTCATCTTCATCTCAAAAACACAGGGTTTTCACACAGAGCGGCAGTCGGAGCAGAGACATGTCTGGACTTGTGCTGTCACTGAGCAGAACATGTTATTTTGACCCCTCCACTGAGAACTGTATTTACTTCAATGCTACTTTTAACTCAGATTCTGCAGTGGTTCTGTTAATCCTTTGTGTAAAAGTAACCCAAAAAAGTCACATTAAACTTTTCATAATTTGGTTTTCTATTTGTTCAAATTACTGTATTTTCCGGTCTATTAGTTGCTCTGGATTATAAGGCGCACTGTCATTAAATGGTCTATTTTCGAGCTTTTTTCACAAATAAACTGCACCGGACTTTAAATGAAACACAACAGTTGGATGGGTCAGTGGGACTTTGTTTGGCTCGTTCACGGTGACTCTGGGCTTTGTTCAGTTGTGGCGTGTAGGGAGGGTGCTGTCTGGGACCAACGGATTGTCGGCGTGTTCGCAGTGACTCAGTTGTGTCTAGAAGTGGCACATTGCACTCGCTTTTTCGGTTCGTTCTTCGTCGGCGTGGAGTGATGAGTGTGTCTGTGGGTGTTTTTCGCTGTGCAGTCGCTGTCTGCTCCGTGCGTGTTTGCGTGCGCTGCAGCTTTGTGGTTTACTGAAGTCGTGCTGTGACACCCGAGTGGATTCATGTATAGGGCGCTCTGGATTGTGGGGCTCGCTGTCGTTTTTTGATGCGGTTGGGGGCTTAAGGAAGCGCCCAATAGCCCGGAAAATATGGTATAAGTTTGCAGCTAATTTGTTGTTTTTTCATGAAGATAAAAACGTATAAAAAAGTTACACTCACCTTGTAAAACAGGTCAGAGGAAAAAAAAAGGAAATTAGTCCCTTAAAGGATTTATGTTTTGGTTCTCGTATGTACTTTATGTGGCGTAATGGCTGAGTAGTTTGCACTTTTCCTAGCCAGGCTGATGCCACCAAGTGCCTCCGCTCAAATTCATATCTCTCTCAAACGACTAGGTCAGAACTCAAAAGTTGTAGACGAGCACCGGCCAATCAGCGAAGAGCTGTGAAGCCATGACGTCAAACTCAAGCGCCTGTCTGGGTCCCTGGGTCGAGATGGACGTAGACGAAGCCAGACATTCTGCGTTGGCAACGATTCCCGAGATCAAGGATTTAAAGCCGGAACAAAGAGAATGTTCTGTGAATTTTATCAAGAGGAAAGACGTTTTTGTCCTTCTTCCTACGGGAATGGTGCATTACATACATTACGACCAAATAAAATAAATAATAAAAATATAAATAAAAAATATAAATAAAAAATGTACCCGCCTTCTGTCGAGCAAATGAATACTCTCTAATGCTGTGAGGTCAGACGGTTTCCACAAAGTGAAACCGGCTGATGAATCAGGCTACACTTTTCCCTCACCGTGAAAAAGGTCTCAGGTTTGACTGAATGAATGAAGGAAAATCAAGCAAACTAAGACTCAATATAATAAATTTATTATTTCCTAAGTTTTGTCACCAAAAATATTATGAGCTAAGGAAATAGCAGAAGAAAATGTGATCTGAACAGTGATCAGATCTCATCAGTCAAAACAAAAACATCTTATTGTATGTTTGTATTTCAGTCCTTGGTTTAACTTCTTAAAACAACAGAAATGCAAGATGAACACAGATTTATTTCCATGAGTTGATGATATTACAGCTACTACACTAATCCCTGTTGAAGAAAATCCAGTGTTATTTGTCATGTGTCTTGTTTCATGAGGTGACAGCAGTTCAGTTCAGATCCAGCAGGTTTTGGTCCATGTTTCTTCACTTGTTTTTGCCCAGTGTCCTCTGCTTCTCGGCGTGCTCCACGATCTTCTCCTCCACGTACAGACCTTTACGTCGGCGGACAGCGTTCATGTATTGGAGCGCCTGGTTCTCAGAGTCGGCTTTCTCCCCGAAGTGCAGGTACTCCTCCTCCGTGGTGGGCACCCAGTGCGGGTCACTGCTGATCACCTGCAGAGAGAAAGAAAGAAGGGAGACAGGAAGAGAGTTTTAGATTTTATAAGAAAGGTTTTAAACATTCATACATTTTATGCAATATGCCAAAGAAGGAGGAGGAGGCCTTGGCCCAGGTGTATAACCCCTGTTTACACCAAAGCAGCTCAGCACACGAGAAGCACACAGGTTTGGCTTTCCATTTTAACCGGTCGGTCATACATGCGTCCAACAGCCGTCATTACGCTACGCGCCGCTCAAAATAGGTTGGAGTGCTAATTCTGCAGCGTCAACGAAGGCTTTTATCAGGGGCAAGACAGGAAATAAGGAGGTGGTGTCAAAATAAATTTCCAATGCCCTTTCAAAATACATTCTCTAAAACCACTACAGTCGCGTAAACATCGTGCGTCGCATCAGGAGCTCGGGGAATGACTCATGATGAACTACGGAAAGTTTGTAACTGTGGAGGATAAATATAAAACACTTTATGACATCAGACAGCAACTTTTCAAGAACAACTTCTGAAGGAAAAGGTGCACCACCTTTTCCTTCAGAAGTTGACAACCAAAGTGAAATGGTGAGCAGCTTAATTAATGCAGCGCAGATACAGCTCGGTATCGCTACAAAGCATTGTGTCTTTTGTTGTTAACCTTTGTAATGTGGTTTAAAACATAATTCATCTAATCAATCATGAAAACATTACACAATGTAAAAAGTTTAGTGTTTAAATGTGAGAATCCACAGAGGCAGCTCAGAAGAAGCTTTGTTGCCTCTGGTGTAAATTGCTGCTGATGCTCCTGGTGTAAATTGTGGGTTAGAGTCAGGTTTGTGGAGATGCAAGGACGCTCAGAGAAAAGATGCATGTTTTTCTTTGTTTTTCAGTACAATAAGTACTAATAAGTACTAAGTTTAGTCTACAGCATTTTTTGACAAAAAAGTTACATGAATTTCCATATTTTTATTTAAAAGATTCTGTTTTAGTCTCATAAACAAACTTTTTGTTATGCCTAGAATCTTTTTCTCCCACTGCAGTTTTAACAGAGGAATGAGAAGAATATTAATCAAGTTCAAGTTAAATGTACAGAATCGGAACAATAAGAAATACTATTGGATACAAAATCTGATGAACTGAGAACCAGTAAATAACATTTTGCTATAAATATCATTTGAATACCACCTGTAGAAACCTGTGTATTTGCTCTTATTTCAACTCTAGACCATGAAACTGTAATGAAGATTGTTTATCCAGAGTTATACCTTTTCGAAAATGTCTCTTTGTTGAATTTGTCTCCAAAGAATAAAGAATAAGAATAATGTAAAAAAAAAAAAAAAAAAAAAAAAAAATTGTAAACGAGAATTGAAGAAGCCACCTGAATGAGCAGAGAAACGTCTTCAATCTAAAACTTTTGTCGAGTTGACATTCAATTTTCTTTTGTTATGGGAAAAAAATATATAATACTCACTACCTGCTCGTCTCTACTTTGCCTGGAATGTTCCACAGCGTGACATTAAACTTGACCTTGACAGGGACAAGCTCTTGTAGCAATAAAAGCGAAAGTAGCTGAATAAATAACAGAGAGATGGATATGTTCAAGGCGAAGGCAAAGCGATAACAACAAAAACACGAGGTTGGTGGACTCTGTTGTGCCTTTGAAATTATATATATTTTCTTTTGCTCTGGAACCTTCTGGACGACTGAGGGATTCAAACGGCCAGTGTAAATAAGGTTATTATGATGTAGATTCTGTAGATTTGTCACACCGAAAAGCTGCGTTTCTCCATAAATCAGTTTGAATAATGTTTTGGACGTGAGCTGTGATGGAAGTGGTCAGCTGTAACGCTTTGTTCTCATTCTTGGACAGTTGAAATTGTGATTCCTGGAACAAAACCAAAAAGGCGGCTGTTGGCGTGTCCAGCTGCTGTTCGGTCCCTGCGGAGCGTGCGGTACAGAGAGGCGCACAAACGGCCCATAGAGGAGACGAGGGGTGACACGGGGCCCCTGTCTACCCCCCCCTCCTCCTCCTCCTCGCCCCCGTCCGGCCCCGCTCGCTCGCTCCCTCGCCCCGGCCCGTCGTCATGGACTACAGGAGCTGCACCTGACTCTGAACATACACTGGGGCAGATGGCACGGTGAAGGTTGTTGCCTCCTCAAAAAAAAAAAAAAAAAAACACGCCTGGAGTTTGTTTAGTTTCATTCACGCATGTTTGAGTGACACTTTATTATATTAGTCTCAAACTCAAAATAATCTCAAAAGATCTAACAAATCCGTGTATCAGGCGTTCGTTCGTTTTTCAAAATGAAACCAGAAATAAGAAAATTAAATAACAACAGTTTTCGTCATTATTTGGCTCCAAAATGGCAACCAAATGAAAAAATGGATAACGATTCAGTTTTCGATTTTGAGTTTAAATGAATAATGGAAAAAACGGGACCAGACCGGAACCAGGGAGCAGGACTGAGCAGGACTGAGACCAGGACTGAGCCCAGGACTGAGCCCAGGACTGAGCCAGGACTGAGACCAGGACTGAGACCAGGACTGAGCCCAGGACTGAGCCAGGACTGAGACAGGACCAGAGACTGAGAGACCAGACCAGAGACTGAGACTGGACTGGGACCGAGACTGGGACCAAATGGGACCAGACCAGGACTGAGACCAGACTGAGACCAGGACTGAGACCAGGACCAGAACAGCACTGAGACTGGGACCAGACCAGGACTGCGACCAGGACTGAGACTGGGACCAAATGGGACCAGACCAGGACTAAGACCAGGACTGTGTCCAGGGGACCGGGCCGGCACCAGTCAGGGACCACACTAGGACTGAGCCTGGGACCAGACCGTGATTGAGACTAGGACTGAGACCAGGACTGAGACCAGGACTGAGACCAGGACCAGAACAGCACTGAGACCAGGACTGAGACAGACTAGACCAGAACAGCACTGAGACTGGGACCAGACCAGGACTGAGACTGGGACCAAATGGGACCAGACCAGGACTAAGACCAGGACTGTGTCCAGGGGACCGGGCCGGCACCAGTCAGGGACCACACTAGGACTGAGCCTGGGACCAGACCGTGATTGAGACTAGGACTGAGACCAGGACCAAAACGGGACCAGACCAGGACTGAGTCTGGGACCAGGCCAGCACAAGTCAGGGACCGCACCAGGACCGGAAGTGCGTGTGTTGTCCTGGAAACAAGTGCCCACTTACGGTCTTTTCCTGAAACGTTGGTAAAACTTTAGTGTTTTTATTACATAAAACCATCAGCGGAGGAGATCGACTTGGAGGCTGTGGTGTGTATATATATGTATGCTCTGCTAATGACACTGGTCTAGTCCTGGTCTAGTCCTGGTCTAGTCCTGGTCCGGTTCTGTTGTAGTCCTTGCGATTTATTCAGATTTATACTGCACTCATGTTTGTGGCTCCTCTCTGATTCTTGGGTCTTTTTTTTTTCAGGATAATAACGCCGCTACGTCACTGGATACTCGTCCCTGATTGGTTGACGCGCAGCACTGACGCCAGATTTGCGCCGCTCTGAAAAAAACGCAGGACTAGACATAGATTTTGCATATAAACTGGACACCTTGACACTCCGGTCTGAACGGGCCTTTATGCATTTTACTATTAACTAGTGCTGGTTTAGTCCAGGTTTGGTCCTGGTCCAGTCCTGATCTAGTGCTGGTTTAGTCCTGGTCCAGTCCTCATCTAGTGCTGGTTTAGTCCTGGTCCAGTCCTGATCTAGTGCTGGTTTAGTCCTGGTCCGGTCCTGGTCCAGTCCTGATCTAGTGCTGGTTTAGTCCTGGTCCAGTCCTGATCTAGTGCTGGTTTAGTCCTGGTTCAGTCCTGATCTAGTGCTGGTTTAGTCCTGGTTTGGTCCTGGTCCAGTCCTGATCTAGTGCTGGTTTAGTCCTGGTCCGGTCCTGGTCCAGTCCTGATCTAGTGCTGGTTTAGTCTTGGTCCAGTCCTGGTCCTGTCCTTGTCCAGTCCTGGTCTAGTCTTGGTTTAGTTCTGGTCCAGTCCTGGTCCGGTCCTGGTCCAGTCCTGATCTAGTGCTGGTTTAGTCCTGATTTGGTCCTGATTTAGTTCTATATTTTAATGAATGCAAAAGAGATTAATTTAATACCACACTGTGAACAATTTAAACAATCCCTCTGGAGAAACGTTACACAGTGCACCTTTAAAAACACAGCGGAGGACTTCCTGTATTACCACACGACCTCCCCCCCCGTCTTCTTGCCCCACTCGCACACACTCGCCCCGGCCCGTTGTCATGGACTACAGTAGCTGCACCTGTCCCTGGGTATAGACCGGGGCAGATGGTTACGGAGAGGCCTCAACAAAACTAACTACCAACGGCTTACAGCGAGAAGCACACCGCGCACGTGAGCAGCATATGCCCACGTACAATGGGACTGCGGCAGGGGGCGAGGGACGGAGGAGGCGAGGGTAAAGGAGACGAGGAAGGAGAGGAGGAGGAGGAGGAGGAGGGGTAAAAAGGAGGGGTAAGAAGCGCTCCACTGGGTAAATGGTCTCAGACGTCTGTTACGGAGAAGCAGGACTGACGCTGAGTTAATGTGAACAAGCCGAGTGTGACCGGAGAACATCAAACTGAAAAGTAGACACGGGGGAGTTTAAAAGTTTAGCTAAAAAGCGTAAAAAGACTCCGGTAATGTTGGAAATATCTGTTACAGGTGCTATACTACGCAAAAATTGAGTCTTGCGTGCTTTAAATCATGTTATAATGCTGTTACCTCCTCTGAAACAGACCTGGAGTTGTGTTTTGTTTCATTTACACATGTTTGAGTAACTCTTTATTATTAGTCTGTCTACATTTCCAAAGCTCAAATCGCTCTGTTCCGCCTTGCAATGTCATCAAGTAGTAGTTTTCAAGTTAACATCTACTTCTAACCTTTAGTTCAGTAGAAATGGGCAATTCCAGGGTTGAAATTGAAGGTTGAAGGTGTATGAAGTTTAAAAACACATACCTTCAAAACAGAGGAACAGAGTGTTTTCTGT